GACCCGAAAGATCACACACACACACACACACACACACACACACACAAAATCAGCTACCTAACTAAAACCTACCGGGTAGATTTCAACCACACTGGCATCGTAAGTCCAAGTGCCCAGTTTCATACTGCAGTTTTGCTCATCAAAGGGGAAGTAGGTGACTATAATTTCACAATAGCTTTTGAAGATGGCTGGTGGCGTCCATGTGATGTGTCCTGTATAGTTCACAAGTACTTTGGTGAACTGCTCGATAGCAAAAATTCCATCTGCACTATAAAAGAAAAGATCAGAAATAATCATAGGAATAGCATATCAATTTAATCCACTGGCTACCCATTTTGTTGTACATACTGATGTTATCAGTGGCTTGAGAGAAAACAACATCCTGTATCTTCCTATGTTTGGTGTCTTTCTTTTAAAAGAATGTACTCTGCAAACTCCATTTTGTACGAAAATGGTTGCATTTTTAAAAATTAAAAAAGCTTGAGAATGTCCATATATCTAGGAGATAAATTTTTTATTTCACAATGCAGAATTAAATTTTTTTTTTATTTCTTTAAATTCATTTGAAAAGACTTGGTACTATCTTTTGCAGGCTAAAGTGAATGTTTATGGTAGCTGACCAGGAATGATGAGTTTGAGTAAAATAGCACTTCTCCCCTTTTTCCTAGACACTCTTGTTTTAAGAATATGACAGGGAATATACAGAGTCTAGCTTCAACTAATCTGGCAGCAGTTTTTAACTCTATTATTGTTCTTTCACATTGTACTTCTTGTTTCCTGTGAAATCAATATTTTGCACATACTTTCAAACAAAATGGTAAAACCTCAAAGAATGCAAACTTACAGTCTTTTCTTTGGCCATGGTCAGAGACATGTAAAATTATGGTGGGGGGGGGAGTGGACAGTCAGGGCTTCCTGTTCCTGGAGTCCATTTGGGAGCCATATCAAGCCACAGCATGGCTGATGAGTGAACATGGCGTTCTTCCTATCAGCACTTCAGCCAGGAGCCTAAGCCTTGCATTGGGCTCCCCAGTGTTTGGGCAACACTGATGTAGAGTATTCATGGCCCTTCCTCTCAGAAGCCCCCCTCCCCTTCAACTTCCTGAATTTTTTTCTCTCTGGTTGTATGCGAGAGGCAGACCTTCAGATCACCAGATGGCAGCAAAGAGTTGGAGTTTTCTGCATCTCCTTGCTGCCATCTCACCGTCTGCTGTCCAGAATACACCTCCTGTATTCTCTCTCCTTTCATTCCTTCATAAGCAGGAAGGAGGAGGAGAGGGAGAAGACGAAGGGAGCAGCCGGCACAGCCCCGAGGAAGCCACCAGGGCCTCTGAGGGCTCCCCTGCAAGCACTTCCTACTGCAGCTGAGGCAGCAGCAATGGAGAAGGAGGTGGGAGCAGCAGCAGCAGCAGCAGCAGCAGCAGCAGCAGCA